TGCCTGGCCTCAGTGCTGCAGCCCACCAACGAGACGCTCAACTTCTGGACGCACTTCATCCCTCTGCTGCTGTTCGCCGGTAAATTCTCCCGCCTGCTGCTGCTGCGCGAGGCCGGCGACCTGCCCTTCCATCACCCCGCGCTGCTGCCGCTGTGGTGCTACGCGTCGGGCGTGCTGCTCACCTTTGCCATGAGCTGCACAGCCCATGTGTTCAGCTGCCTCTCGCTACGCCTGCGTGCCGCCTTCTTCTACCTGGACTACGCCTCCATCAGCTACTACGGCTTCGCCAGCACGGTGGCCTATCACTACTACCTGCTGCCCAAGCTGAGCCTGCTGGAGCCGCGCATGCTCAGTCGCTACCTGCAGCAGCGCCTCGGCTGGCACGTGGACTGCAGCGCGCCCATCGCCGCCTACAGCGCGCTGGTGCTGCCGGTCGCCTTCGCTCTGGCCGTGGCGTGCACCGTGGCCTGCTGCAAGAGCCGCTCCGAGTGGTGCGCCTACCCCTTCGCCATCCGCACCTTCGTCTTCGTCATGCCGCTCAGCATGGCCTGCCCCATCATGCTGGAAAGCCTCCTCTTCGACCTGCAGGGCCACAACCCCACCCTCTTCTTGTACTTCTACCGCCGCTACTTCTGGCTGCTGGTGGCCGCCTTCTTCAACGTCAGTAAAATCCCCGAGCGGATCCAGCCGGGCCTGTTCGACATAATCGGGCACAGCCACCAGCTTTTCCACATCTTCACGTTCCTCAGCATCTACGACCAGATGTTCTACGTCGAGGAAGGCTTGCTGCACTTCCTGCAGAACCCCCCGCCCGCTTCGCCTACCTTCGCGGGCACCGTCGGCTACATGTTGGGCTTGATACTGTGCCTCGCCCTGGTCATCCGGAGATTTTTAAACAGCCAAGGGATCTGCAAACAGGAATGAGGTATCTTTCCTTCAGGTTTTCTATGAAGTTCTTACTTAAATTACGGGTGGCGGTGGCTGCTGCTTCTGCTACGAGAGTCCGCGAGGTCGGCTCTTCCTGGGGAAAGAAAGACCGAGCGCGGCGGGCTTGCGGTTACCGGACCCCTTTGAGAAAACGGCTGCTTCTCTTGAAGCAAAACAGGTTTTAAAGAACACTTAGGCCATCGTCCTGTAGACGGCCTTCTATTTATTGCTGCTTAGCATACAGAGAGAAGCCATTCTAGAGTTACTGCTTGAAATCTACAATTTGATCCTTATTACATTATTTGTAAGTAATCCTCCATTTAATGGACTCAAGATCATGGTTTTTCAGGGGAAATAATATGTATAGACAATGCTAGCTGCTGGTCTCAGTCTGACTACTTGATGGTATTGTTACAGTGAGCAATATACAATCGATCTGCACTGACAAACAAATGATATTTAAGATCTGATTTGCATGCAATTCTTGGAATTTTATGCACCCAGGAATGTGGGTTTATGTGTTTTTTGAAGTCATATACACTGGAACTGTGTTTTTAACATAAACAAATTGAGATCCACTTCTTTTTGTCTCAGAGGCAAATACTGTGCACACACATTTCTTCTTTATAGAGATTTATTTAAGTGGCTGTGAATTACTGTAGAGACAGGTTATACTTTGATCACAAGTTTCTGGCCATACTGTGAGAACAAAGCTTACAGATGATATAACTTCCCTGATTCTTGCATAAGGCTGCTTTTGTAAGATGCTTTTATTCCAATTCTAATATCTATCTGCAAGCTATATGTCATGCTGGTTTGTTACTGACCATTTAAACAGAAGTAAGAGCTGCAGTGAGTGTTACTTTAGAGCAAGCACAGTGACAGGATTTAGCCATAACATGGTTGATTTCCTTTTGGCTTAAGGTTAGCATGATCTGTGACTCCAGCCAATTGTGATTCATTCAACAAACCATGGTTAAGCAGCCCTAGCATGATGTATAAATCCAACAGTTAGCTTGTACGTTAGAACCAGGATATAGAATATTCTGTAACCTTAAATATAGGACCATGCACCAGCAAGTTTTAGAAGCTGTCATAATTTGTTTACATGGTCAGTTATCCTGGAATTGTTGCCCCTAAATACAGGGGTGAACTAACATTGAGCTGAAAGATTTATGACAATCCATAGCAAAAGTTTGTCTCATCTCTCTGTTACGCTGGGATTTATGACAGCAACAAGGTTGTTGCCACCTGTAGGTGAAGTTCGTAGTTTCCAGAGAATATTCCCAGGATAGCTGACACGTCCACAAAGACAACGGAATTTATTTTCCTACTGATGGCAATTGTTATCTCAGGACTACAACTTCAGTATAACAATTTCTGGATTTTGATTGTGTAAATAAATCATTAGTAAAAGTTATAATGACAAAAGTCGGTTGTATACAGATAAAATTCAAAATGGTACTATTTGAAGAACAGCCATTTTAAAAAGCCTAAAGTATTGTCCTGATTTGGTTGCTTCTGATATACATAATAAGCATAAAACAGGTCAACCTAATCTGCAGTTTCGAGTTTGCACGTGGCCCTCCAAAGCTGCGGGTATGAAATCCACCATCCTCCCCATAAATTAATGCCAGCAATTTTAATTAAATTAAATTTTTATTTTTTCTGTTGGTCCCACCTCCTTTTGGAGTACACCCCCTCCATGCCACTCAGAGAATTCCACAGCACCAATATCCATTGTGGCAATACAGTGATAACACTGAATAACTAACCATTTGCTACTCTTTCAGGACACCCAGGATCTGCTGTTTGAGGCAGCGGCTTCCCTCTGCCTAATAGCAGGGCTGAACTTGGTTGTAATGGCATGAAATATTGCTAGTTGTGGTTTGTATATAGTCACAGGTTGTATCTGGATTTGTGGTAAAGCCTGGGGAGTCCATGCTTTTTGTTGCTGACCTTTTTGTTTCCAAGATTTTCGGTGTTGAACATTCCTTCTTTATCCTATAAGTGTTGATGTAATCTAATAATTGCAGAGTTTAATTCATTCAGCCTATAATGCCCATCCTTCAGAGTTTAAATTACAGAATTCACGGCCACAGTAACCTGGCCTCATCTTTGAACTTTGCATTTTTCCCCCATCCTCTTGTGTCTTGCGTGCTGTCTGGTCAGATGAGGTGTTCTGGAGAATATGCAGGCTGCACGCTGGTCTTAATATTGTTGCAATGTGTTATTTATTGGCCACTTGATATTGGGGCATTGTCTACAATACCACACAGGCTGATAACCCAGGGCTTTTGAGAGAGATCCCTTGTCTAAAATGGGCATCTCCCTTTTTACAGAAGATGGACAGAGGTCCCTCCTTGCTTACAAACAGGGACTTTTTGCTATATAACTAAAACACACAGCTCAATGTTTTCCCTCACTATTTTTGTACAGCTGATATTTTGAAAATTGCAGCATTAAAAACTGAAAAGTGCTTGCTCTCCAACAAAAAAAATTCAAAGAACCTTTAGCATGGACTGCAAATTAGCATTTTTGACATTTATATTATTAATTTATGGGAAAATAGAACCAAGATTTCTTCCATTCCAGTAATTAATTGCAAAACCTGGAAGATTATGAATGGTGACTATCTTTTGTCTTTCAAACACTTACGCTTTTCTTTGAAATGTTACAAACCACTTTGCTTACCATTCAGATCTTTTTGACCCCATCAATTATTTTTGCTCTGCAATTATACATATGGTTGTATTAAAACCTAGAGAGCAACATTCATGCCTCTGATGAAATGGTGCCTACTTAATTGTACTGTAATAGAATTGTCAGATTTTATGACTAAGGTTTTCTTTTCTTTTAGCTTTTGGTTTATTTTAACATATGAATATAGCTATCCCTCAAAATTCCAGGTCATATTTCTACAGTAGTTCTTTTACCCTGTATCTTTGGACTTGAATTCTGTTTCCCTAGCAGCAAAAGTAACATTCATTTTGGGTTGACCTGAATAAAGTACTCCTAAAGTAAATGCGAGTACTGTATAGCAACATTGACAGTCTTAGAAGTAGAAATTTTGGCAGTCATGCAGTTGAAGAGAAATGATGCTCCTTTATTTCTTTCACACCATTTCTCAGTTTATCTGTTGTTTTGTAATTCTCTGTATTGCAATTCATGATCTCAAGAGTCATAATGTAGTCTGTGTGTGTGTGTAAGATTCTGATTTACAGTTTTCATACAGGTAGTCCTCAACTTACGACCATTCATTTAATGACTTTGAAGTTATGACAGCACTGAAAAAAGTGACTTATGACCAGTCCTCGCACTTATGATCATCACAGGGTCCCTGCAGTCATGTGATCAAAATTCGGGCGCTTGGGAACCATCATGTATTTATGACAGTTGCAGCATCCCAGGATCATGTGATCACCATTTGCAACCTTTCCAGGTGGCTTCCAACAAGCAAAATCAATGCAAGAAGCCAGATTCGCTTAACGATGTGTGATTTACTTAATGACTGTGGTGATTTGCTTAACGACTGCAGCAAAAAAAGGTCATAAAATTGGGTGCAACTCACATCGCTTAGCGACGGAAGTTCCAGTCCCAATTGTGGTCATAAGTCGAGAATTAACTGTATTGGTTTTATGGATAAAGAAGATTGCCAGTCTTTGTATGAAGAAAGGCTAGAGCAGTTCAATCTATTGTATTTTGAGAAACAGTTTGTAATGAACAGTTGATTTCATTTTTGATCAGACATTTTGTCAGTATTCAAATCAGTTTTTAAAGTTGTAAAGTCAGTCCTTTTTTGTAGAGGAACTGTAATCTAACTAATTTCAATACTGCATTGGAACAATGCAATTCAATACAAAGGCAAAATAAATGTGTGCTTTGAAGTTCAAGTGGCAAAATACTGATTCTGCTTCAGCAGCAGATTCTAATTCATTGAATTGAGAAATTATTTCTTCGTAGACCAATTGTACACACAGAGAGACATGCCAGCCTAGAGAGATTTTTCTCCATACAAATGTATTTTATAGATCTATTTTAATCATAAATGTTTTATATCAGTCAAGCCAACAACTGAAAATAATCATCATAGTATAATAATAAACAGAATAGAAACCAAGTGGCAGACATTAAATCCCGTTAAGACCAAAAACTGGTAAGATAAGGCAAATATAGCAAACTCCAAATAATAATGCGAAACGATGGTTTGAAGTTAATGTGCAAACTATGATTTGTGCTGACCATGAATAAACATTACACTTATATCAAACAATTTTAAATCCTATTCTTTTGCAGTTCTCCAGCCATTGAACATGCAGAGAAGTTAGCAGTTAGCACTTCTTTGAGCAATTCATACTGTGTGTGAGTTGTATCTATGTTTATTTTCTCTTGAGACTAAATTTGCCCGATGTCCAAATTGTAGCGTGTGCATGTAAACTTTTGTAATTTTTTCTTGTTTTCAAAAAGATCTTTAAATGTGGTGATCAGGCATACTTAAACTAAATGTTGTTTGGGATATAATACAGCCCAAATAATAATTATTGTAATGATTTGCCAGAAATGACTCACTCGATCTTGAAATTAAATGAATTATTTATTTGAAATATTCATTTGGAAGGTACCATTTAAAGCATCCATTTGACAATTAAGAAAGGCAGGGTAAAATGGAAAAGACTCACAGTTAATGGTCTTTGTTTTTGAGAGAACTGAGCTCTGTGTTCAAGCTAAATTTAAAGAAAGCTTTTAAAATAAATTATACAGTGAGTTTTTCTTGCTTATCAGTTGCACTGTAAGGAACATCTTGCAAAGCAAAGTGAGATTGTAGTGAACAGTAAAAATACATTTGATATTTGGACCATGTGATCTCTTCTATTTATAGTTCAATTACAGATTAAAGTTTATGGTGCTGAGTTGGTGTTAGCTATCATTAGAGCTGTTGATTTTATTGTTCTTCCCACTTTCACACTTATAAATTTTGCCCAGAAATTTGGTTTGTATACAGTGCTTTACTGCTTATTGCTGAAGTATGCTAACTTCAGAAATAAGTACCTCCTTAAGAAAGTACTTATAACTATTACTTGAAGTCTAACTTTTCATGATTTACTGAATTTATCAGAGACCAATACTTCCATTTAGATTTGTCATCTTAAATTTCAGAAGAAAGCATTAATTACAGTGGTACCTCTACTTACGAACGCCCCTACTTAAGAAATTTTCGAGATACAATCAGCTCCGGCCCCAAAAATTTACCTCTACTTACGAATTCGCCTCGACTTACGAGCCATTTTCCGCCCGTGCCAGGTGGCCTGCGGCCATTTTCCGCCCGTGCCACGTGGCCTGCGGCCATTTTCCGCCCGTTCCACGTGGTCCGCGGCCATTTTTCCGCCCCTGACACGTCCGCAGCCATTTTTTCTGCCCTGCCGCATGGGCAGTGGCCGTTTTTCTGCCCCTGACGCGTGGTCCGCAGACGCCGGGAC